ATTCCAGCGACCCGAATCATGGAGACGACGATGATGAAGACGGAGCAGATAGTACAGTTGATGATAATAATGTCTATGATGATTATGATGGTTATGACGATTATGATGGTTATGATCATTATGATGAATATGATGATGACGATATCCAAAACGAAGATGAACCAGAGTTTGAGGAAGAGCAGGAGAGAGAGCAGGAAGAAGAGCAAAACGGAGAGCAGGAGGGAGAAGGCGAGGATGAGAGACAAAAAGAGGAGCAGGATGAGGAGCAGGATAAGGAGCAGGATGAGGAGCAGGAAAAGAATCAGGAAGATGAGTACGAAGATGAACAGGAAGAGGAAGACAATTGACTGAAGCACCGACCACGAAAATCTTCAGAAAAAGAAAACAGTTCGATTCTGATAGAGTTTCATTTGACAATAATGGCGATGATGATAATGATGACAATAATGACTATGAAGATAATGGTGATAATAATGATGATGATGATTATGATGATGACGATATCCAAAACGAGGATGAATCAGAGTTTGAGGAAGAGCAGGAGGGAGAGCAAGAAGAAGAACAGGACGAAGAGCAGGACGAAGAGAAGGAGGATGAGGAGCAGGATGAGGAGCAGGATAAGGAGCAGGACGAGGAGCAGGAAAAGAATCAGGAAGATGAGTACGAAGATGAACAGGAAGAGGAAGATCAATTGACTGAAGCACCGACCACGAAAATCTTCAGAAAAAGAAAACAGTTCGATTCTGATAGAGTTTCATTTGCTCCCAAACAACGAAATGAAAGAAACAATCGCGCCTTTACATTTTAAACAAGACAAACCACAATGGCTGCTCGTTTGAATCGAAATAGGAACGAACGTCGAAGTTCTTCTACCGCTTCTACAATGAGAACCACCACCTCTTCTAAGCCAGAAATGATTATCAAAACCAACAGACCAATTTCGTCAACTACACCAAGGCAAACGACGACCAAAACTCGAAAACCTCGGAAGAAGACACAAAGTCGAAAAGCTGATCCTACAACCACCATCACAACCAGCAACCATGAGGACCACGACCACCATGAGAACAAGACGAACAACTTCCCATCAGTCGAGACGAACCACGACAGAACCTCGTACGAAACGGACGACGTCTGCCCCTGAAACGAGACAAACAACCATCACCACTCAGAAGACTCGGAATGATAGAAGAAGACGCGGGCGGCCCACTACCACCACTCCAAGATCGACTACCATTACTCCAAGATTCACAACCACTACTCTAAAATCCACTTTCACCGGCCGAAGGAAGTTCAAAGGACGCGGATAAGATCATCTTGTTGCAACCGATATTCTTTTTTTTGTGTTCTGAACTATTTATCCTCTCTAATTCTTATATGCCACACCTTTTAGTCTTATACCTTCTTCTGAATAAAAATCAAAATTACAAAAAAAATTATTTTTAAAACATCAAAACTATTGAAAACATGATTGGAATAAATAAACGTTTCAATCTAACCAAATTTTCAAACAAAACATCTTTCTTTAAGGACCAGAATTTTTTTTAAGGACCAGAATTTTTTTTTAAGGACCAGAATTTTTTTTAAGGACCAGAATTTTTTAAGGACCAGAATTTTTTTTAAGGACCAGAATTTCATACTAGAGCCGACAATTTTTGGTTTGATTTCACACGAACCGAGATAATGAAGCGCAAACCGACGGTGTCTTGTTTCCTTCCATTCCATGTATTCCTGTTTTGAAAATGACGCATTTTCTGGGGGTTATGGCACAGAAATAGAGTTGTAGCTCTGTCAGTTTTGCAGATAATCAACTTTTGCGAATTACAAAAAAAGAAGTTAGTGCACTGAGAATGCGGTGTGCCTGAGTCTCCGCGCGATCTACCTTTAAAGGCGCATATCTCAAAAACTAAAAAAACAAGAAAAAATCTGTTAACTATAATAATATTGGAAATTTTACAAGCTACAAGTTTGTGATTAAACATTTTTTTATAGCTTTTTTGATTTTGGAGATATGTGCCTTTAAAGTTACCGCGCTGAGAAGGCGGTGTGTCTCCTTTCTCTGCGTCTCCTTTTAAAGGCGCATATCTCGAAAACTAAAAAAGCTAGAAAAAAGTGGTCAACTACAAAAATGTGTAAAATTTCAAGGGCTATTTTACCGAATTTTGCTATCTGCAAAATTGCCATGTCTACAACTCTATTTTGTATCTTAACTACTAGAAATGAGGTCAAATATGCTTCTTGTGTTCTTGGCAGCGTTCCAGACTTCTTTGTCTTCACCGCGAATCTACCGTAATTTAAGAAAAGTTTGGTTTAAAAACAAAGAACTTTATTAAGGACATCTGGACACATGGAAATAGGGACAAATAATCTACAAAAAAAATATTTATCACAAAAAGGTTACCTCTCTTTGACACTAATTATCTCGGTTCGCAATTAAGATGCTGCAAATGTGTAAATAAGTAAAATGTAAAGCATAAAATTTGGCACATTTTGTTAGTTAGCAACTTTTTAATATCATCTACAGTAACCGAGACAATTAGAGTCAAAGAGAAGGCATGGAATGGAAAAAGTCACTTTGCACTTAATTATCTAGGTTTCTGTGACAGCAATTGAAAAATTGTAAACTGCAAAAATGGGTAACATTTTATGAGCTACAAGATTGTGGTTTACATCTTTTTTCTAGCTTTTTGAGATATGCGCCTTTAAAGTGGGCGTGCCCTATATTTGACGGTGGCGCCGCGTCTAGAGAAGACGCAGACACACCGTCTTCGCTCTGAGCGCACACCAACTTCAAAAGCCCATATCTCAAAAACTAAAAAAGCTAGATCAAATTTTTTAACTAACAAAATGTAGCTCGTAAAATTTCCTACATTTTTGCAGTTTACAATGTTCTGATATCTTCTACAGTAACCAAGATAATTAGGCTTAAAACACAGGTCTCTAATTATCCGCGAATTGTCATCTCAGTGGTGATATTCTGCAGAGAACTCATGAATCGACGGACATCCTTTGCTTTGAATGGATTCGTTGGATGTTCTGGAACACATTGTGGTGGAGATGGGGTGTATGGATAGTAGACCATTCGACGATCAGCATGCTCAAAGTTTTGGCGGACACGAATTGTGAAGAACTGCAAGGAAAAGGCTTATAATTATCTTTAAAACTGGAATTTTTGAGAGATCTTGATTTCAAAATGTAGGCCTTAAAATATTCGTCAAAGTCATGTAAAATGTGACAAATCTGGAATTTCAGATTTTTCAGAAAAGGGACTTTGAAAATTTCAGATTTTCAAAAAATTGGTTTTTTTTCAATAGACTACCGAAATAATTCAAATTTATTCAATTTGTCTGAAATTGTTAATCTAGACTAAACACATCTAGAGCTTCATTTTTGTTGTTAACAACTTTTTTGTGCGAGCGCGCTCTGGCGAGATATGCCACGTGGAAGAGCGTCGACGTCTATGGCAACCGCGCTGCGCGTCTTGACTCTTGGCGCCAAATAGCCCAACAGAGCGCACTTACCATGGCTTGAGTTAAAATTTTCCGGGTAATCGGAAGATTGAGAGTGTTGGCTCTGCCCAACAAATGAGTCATCCACTTTTTCGACCAATTCGGAAGCGTCGCGTCGCATCCATGTCGCTTGTAGTAGAATTCCAGGAAATCAGCCGTGCAGAGGATGAGGTCCTGGAAAAAATTAGAAAACTCAAAATAAATCATCATGTGTGAAATTTCAGACTCTTTCGAATGATTTAAAAATCAACGCTATAGCGCAGAACTTTGCTGAGTTATGAAGCAAAAATTGACGCTCACCCGGAATCGATGCTGTCATGTTTCGGATTTAGCTCTAAACTGAGTAATTTTTTACCGAAATACATCAAATTTAGTTATATGCGGTGTGAAATGTCCTGGATTTTTAAATAAAATACTAATCAAAACTCTGACTATAAAGTAGCCGAGGTACGAGCTTAATAATTACCTAAGCCAACGGCCAAATCATGTTACAACCCTATAGCACTCTCTGAGTTTGTTTTGGCTTTAAAGTAGCCAAATTACCACCGTTTTTATGAATTTTTAAACAGTCTAAATGAACATTTTACGATCTTTCTATTGGTATAAAAATCAATACAGTATGTTTAAAACCAGCAGAGCTATAAACCAAATACAGATACTGACTCAAAACCTATGCTACCATGTTTCTGATTAACCTCTAAACTAGACAATTTTTTAATCAATTTTCCCGAAGTTTAGCATTATATTTTGAAATTTTACGCTTTTTCGATTGAAATAAAAACCAGTGTTCTAGCCGAAAAAACTAGTTGAGTTATGAGCATAATACTGGCCCTGACCCCAAATTCAATTGACGTCGGCCACAAAGTTGGGCTCTAAACTAGGTCAATTTTGACCAATTCACATGAATTTTAGGACTTAGGACTGAAATTTTACGTTCTTTCAAATAAAACTTGAATTAAAACTCTATCTCTAAAACTAGTCAAGTTATAAAGCTTCAATTAAACTCACCCTGCACTCGGCTCTGCATCGATCCTCCAACTGTTTGATGTGCTCTGCTGGGAGGGAATATTTCGCTGATTTTGGCATTCTGGCTGGTTAATTGACTAAAAATAATTTTTTTTTGATTTAGAAGAACTGGAAAAAATAGGAAAAATAAGTTAAACATTTCAGAAAAAAAAACAATTTTCAAAAAAGTTTTTTTTTCAATTTTTTTCAAAAAAAACTCAAATTCTGACTGCTTTTTTCCCAAAAAATAGTCCCGAATATTATTCAAATTGTAGAAAAAAAATGCATATTTGCCGAGTCATGAATAATATTGAATCCCGATCGCGACAAGTTGGAAACAAAAACGGAGCCGACGGGCCGAAAACGGACCAAAAGCGGACCAAAACGGACCGAAAACAGACAAACTCATAGCTTTTTTCTGAGTTTTTATTTTTGAATAAATAAAATGGATGTGATAGAAGAATTCGAGAGCTACAAAGTTATACTATTGGGACTACTGTATCTTGTCTATGAGCTAAGTTACAGTACGCCCAAAAAGATCTACTGCAGAGCTAGGGCGGTTTTTGGCTTGTGGCTTTGTTCATAGACGAGCTATAGTGTCTCAAATTGCATTATTTTGTAGCTCCCAAATTTTTCTATTGTACCCATTTTAGCTGGTCCAAAAATATGATTTTTGAAGGAAGCTATGACAATAGAGTGCAGATGACTAATAAAACGGTTTTTTTCATTTATTTATTTTTTTTTTCAACGAAGGGGAGAAAACCATTAACACGTGAAATGTCTATGAAACTAGGAGATATAATAGGGACATACATTTGTATTTTTCTGCTATTTTTACACAATTTGTACGCTATTGAACATCTGCTCATCTGTGTCTCTCTGTTCTAAGAGACTGATTCATCAACAAAAAAAAAAGAAAAAAAAGTGACAGATGTTCAAAACATTTTCAAAAAAAAAACAATTTTTTCGAAAATTACGGAGAAAGTAAAATTCTGTTTTTTTCAAATGTTTCTCGTAAATTGAATTTTTTTTTCAAAAATTCAAAAATTCGAAAATTCAAAAATTCAAAAATTCGAAAATTCAAAAATTCAAAAATTCAAAAATTCAAAAATTCAAAAATTCAAAAATTCGAAAATTCAAAAATTCAAAAATTCAAAAATTCAAAAATTCAAAAATTCAAAAAAAATTCAAAAATTCAAAAATTCAAAAATCAAAAATTCAAAAATTCAAAAATTAAAGAATTCAAAATTCAAAAATTCAAAAATTATAAAATTCAAAAATTCAAAAAATCCAAATTTTCAGCTAAAAATCCCAAAATCATCGCTCAGAAAAAGCGGAAAAAGACGAAATGGTGTACTAAAATCTAACTGAACCTTTCTCTTTTTGTGTAGCTCTCTCAATAAAAATGAGCACACACAAAATTTTCCCTTCTCTTGGGCTCCAACCCCAAGAAAAAGAGCCAAAACCAATTCTAACTCCCGCTATAATTTCTCACTTTTCTTCTCATAAAATGAGCAATGGGCGGAGCTTATTATGTCTGGAACACACTTAAATTGGATTGATTTTATTTGGTAAAGTCGGGAAAATTAAAAATGTTACAGACAAAAAAGTATTGACTTTTTCATAAGGCTATATCTCAAAAACTAAGAAAGCTAGAAAAAATTAGTTAACTATGAAAATGTGTACAATTTTATAAGCTAAATTTTTGTAGTTTACAACTTTTTGATAGCACTTTCAGTTTTTGAGATATGCGTCTTTAAAGTGGGTGGAACCGCAGAGAAGTGGTGGTGTCTACCTTTCTCTGTGTCTCCGCAACTTTAAAGAAGCATATCTCAATAACTAAAACAGCTACAAAGTAGTGTTAAACTGACAAAATATGTAAAGTTTTAAGAGCTACGTTTTTGTAGTTTACAAAATATAGAGAGCTATAAAACCAGCAGAGATACGGTCTCTTGGAGAAAGGTCAAGCCGATTTCAGAAGAGGCCATTCTTTTCAAACGCTTGTATCTTTGCTAATTTTACAGATATTCAAAATATATTTATTATCAACATATAGCTCATAAAATTGCCCATCTTTTTGTAGTTCACAACTTTTTTGTAGCTGTTTTAGTTTTTGAGTTATGCGCCTTTAAAGTTGCCGCGCGCCGAGGCAAGCGCAAGGAAAGAGGAGAGAGGGGAAGAGACGCAAAGAAAGCGGCGAGTCTGACTTCTCTGCGTCTCTCTGTCTGGAAATTTTAAATAATATCAAATATAAGAACACTAATTAAAAATGAATACAAAAAAACAAAAATAAATAAAGGAAGGAGAAGTTCTGGGAAATTTAAAGTTTACAATGAGGGAAATTTTTAAAAAATCCGAAAAAATTTTTTTTTTAGTATTGAACAACTTCAGATTGTGACTAGAAAATTTAAAATTAATCATCATATTTCTTGAATTCGTTCATTCCAGAATTTTCAGCAGGGTTCTCGTTGTTCTGGAAATTTCCAAAATCCTCCTGAATGTTCTCCAGATTCTCCAAATTTTCTGAACTTGTACATCGACGTCTTCTGGAATTTTTTCTAGAAATTCTTCTGGAAGGTTCTGATTCTCATTTCTTGCAGCGTATTCTGTTGGAATCGGAAAGAAGAAAACATCACGTCGGAATTCTGGGTTAGCGAGACGAATGAAAGCAGTGAATTTCTGAAAAAAAACATTGAATGCGCTTATCTCAAAAACTGAAAAAGCTAAAAGAGTGTTGTTAACTACAAAAATGTGTAGAATTTTATAAGCTACAATTTTGTAATAAACAAATAATGTCTTGCTTTTTTAGTTTTTGAGATATGCGTCTTTAAAGCGTGCGCGCCCTTTAGAGGAGGCTCTCCGCACGCGCCAATTTTAAAGGCACATAACACAAAAACTAAGAAAGCTATAAAAATTTTGTAAATTACAAAAATGTAGCTCTTAAAATTTTACACATTTTTGAAATTTGCAAATATTGTTTAGCTTTTCTAGTTTTTGAGATCTGCGCTTTTTTTGAGATCAAGGCGCGCGCGCTCACGTCGCAGCTTCTTTGCGCGCGCCAACTTTAAAGGCGCATATCTCAAATACCAAAAAAGCTACAAAAAATTTTCAACTACATAAATGTAGCTTATTAAATTCTACACATTTTTGTGGTAGACAAGTTTTGTTTAGCTTTTTTAGTTTTCTAGATATAATCCAAACTAACCGAGACATTCAAAATGATCTCCTTATTCAATTTGATGTCAAGTGCGTCCATTTTTGGGACGAGTTCGTCGAGCCACTGGGTTATATAAAATGGAATTTCAGTTTCTTTTCCGTTCTGGTGATAGGATTGTTCAAGTTTGTGGGCCGTGAGAATAATGATGTCCTGGAAAACAAATTTGGGTGAAAATGAGCTGAAAATAGGCTGAAAAGTTACCCTGCACTCCTTCAAACACTCCATTCTTCTCTTCATAACATCGGATTTGGGAATGAAGAATACAGACATCTGAAGTTTCTGAAAACTTTGAAAGTTTTAGTTTTCAGAAATCTGAAAAATACAAAAACTTTGAAAATCGGAACCTTCCAATTCTCGACTTCTAAACATAGATGCACCAAAAATAAGAGTCCCCACCACAATCTTTGGGTAGAATCTTGAGAAATTAATTTTTCTCTCTTTTGAAATAGAATTTTTATTCTGGCTTCAAAACATATAATTTTTCAAAACATCAGGAGTAATTTGAAGACATTTTTTTAGAATTTTAAATTTCTGAAATTTCTGATAACCCAAAAGTGTAAATATTTCTAAAATAGGTTTCAAAAAACCTAAAGAATTCTAAAAACTTAAAATTTTCTGATATTCAAAATCCCGAAAAATTCCTGAAGTCCTAAAAAGTCAATTCTGGAAAATTTTGAGAAAAGAAAATTCTAAAATTCCCATAAATTAAACTAAAAACTCGAAAATCCTAAAAACATCAAAAAATCATTTAAACACCTAAAATCCTAAAATTTCAATTCTCTGAGGATTCCAAAATTCCTGGAGAAAATCCTAAAATTTCGAGAAATTCTTAAAATCCCAAAAGTTAAAATTGCAAAAAAAATGGAATTCAAAAAAACGAAAATCCCTAAAAGTTCAAAAATCGCAAAAAATCAGAAAAAAGATCCAAAAATCCTGAAACTGCAGAAATTCTTTAAAATTCAAGATATTTTGAAAATTCGGATTTTCTTAATTCTAAAAATCCAAAAAAAAAGAAAAGGGAAAAATTCTAAAAAATCCCAAAAGTTCAAAATCAAATCTGAAAATTAAAAAATCTCAAAATCTCGTAAATACTGAATTTTTAAAAATTCAAAAATCCTTGAAATCAAATAAAAATTCCTGGAAAATCCTGAAAAAAACCCTGTGAAAATTTAGACTTTTTCAGGTTTTTTTGTTTATTTTTTAAACAAATTTCCAGTTTTTTGCTTCTGAACTTTTTTTTCAGAAATTCAGAAATTCAGAAAATTCAGAGAAAAAAAAATCCAGCGAAATAAGAAGAAGAATTTCTTCTTCTTCTTTCTTTCTAGTGGAAAAAATGTAATGGCAAAAAAAATGAAACCATGGATACTCTTCGTTTTTTTGTTCCCATTTTTCTTCTGCGTAGAGATTCATGTGTGGGATGTTGTAGGAGACAAAAAATGAAGATGAAGACGCGAAGAGACAAAAATTCTGGAATTTAAAAAAAATCTAGAAAAAAATTACCTATAAGCCTCTTAAAATCTAAAAATTCAAAAAAAAATCTAATTTTTTCCATGTTTTACAGGTTTTTAGCCCGGAAAATCTGTGAATTTCTTGTTTTTAAATCTTTTTTTTTTTCAAAAAACCTCTTTTAGGGATACTGTAGATGACCTTTTTTCGATGAAAAGGTCATAAAAACCAATTACCTTGCTTGTGTTGACTCTTTTTATTGGATTACTGTAGATTTTTTGGCGACAGGTGGTGGCACCCACCTGTACTTTTTTTAAACATTTTTTAGGCCCCGCCCACTTTTTGCCCTTTTTTTGAACTTTTAAAGGGCCATTATGTTATTTGGATTTCCATATTAGGGTTGGCCCAATTTTTGAAT